GAGAGGGAAAAGGGGGAAGTCAGAGGTGGGTGAGTGAAAGGTGAGGAATCACTTTTTTCCCGTTTTCATTTTTGTTGGTTTTTATTTTTTCTGTGTTGTTGTTGTTGTTGTTGGTGTGTGTGTGTGTGTTTTGGGTGTGTTTTGAGCTCCGGCATTAATTCAGCCGGCACATTACGGAACTCTGGCAGGAATAGACGTTTATAAAGCGATGTGGATCTCCTTTTTATTCCCGGATGGGGGGCTCATCCATGGCTCCATTTACGCAGTTCCGGGAACTATTTAGCCAGTTTTTTTTTTTAATTGAGCTCCCAAGAGAAGTATCTTTTTTTAATATAGAGCTGCGAGCCTTTTCCAAAGAAAGACAGAGAGAGACGAATGAGGGGTTGCAGGTAGGGAGTATCACAAAGTGTTAGCAAAAATATATATATATCCCCCTTTTTTTTCACAAAAGCTAAAAAATCCAGATTGAATCTGGCAGCAGGGGACTTGTCATCAGGCTATCTTCTGACGATAAGTCCTTTCGTGCGCCTCGTTGCAGTATCAGAAAACAGAGGAATAGAAAAAATAGAGCAGGCGATCACCTCCTACGTCTTGTTCGGAGACTCCTCCTTGATGCAAACTAGCAGGCATACATCTTCTGGCTTTTTTTAGACAAAGCAAGTACCCTTGTACTGCGCAAGGAGTTGCGCAAGTGAATAACCATTTCTACAGTATTTCCCTACTGCAACTAGTTCTGCAAGGAGTGCGGGTAATCAACAAACCAAGGGTTATCCATATTCCATTGCATCATCAACGCGCAAAGGGGGAAAAAATCGACAGGGAAAGTTTGAATTTATCCGTGATTCCACATGGTCATCAAAAGCCAAAACTTGAAGAACAAGCATTAATTTCGTGCAAAGGTTGCGACACAGCATGCATCATTCGCAGGGGAAACAATCCATACACGGGGATACTCAAAGTCTCATGCGATTTCAAAAAGCAAGAGAGGGAATCATCAAAACAGAAAGTCTACGGGGAAGGTGTTATTATGGAAAAACTTGAAACTCCCAACAGTAGCCATGTATTCCCTCATGCGAGACTGGGGAGTAAAAACAACGGGAATGGGGAAAGGTTTGGGGAGAAAATAGGAAAAAAATCGAAAAATAGGAAAAATCTAGGCTGGGCCCAGGGGGGTCCGCCCGGCGAAACCGGGCGATGCAAAAACACAGCAAGGAATTTTATTTTTATTTTTTTGAAAGCGGGGTTGTGCTGCGCTACCCTAGAGGACCACGAATCTGCAATAAAACAGTTAAGTTGGGGGGGGTGGAGGGGGGCTCTCTCTGTCTCTCTCTC